ATCTTGGAAAATATAAATTTTACAGAAAAGTGTTTAAGACAAAGTTGTAGTGTTCAAAAAGATCTATTTATTGATCTTATTATTAATTTGATTAGGTAGCGTCGCCAAGATCAGATCAAGATTACATCGATTTCTTTTAATGGAACATCTTACTTTTGATTTCTAGAAGAGAATCTAATAGCTAGTGTCTTTCCAAAATGCTATAAGAAAATATTTTTTCATTAAGTATTTTTTGAGTTATGCTTGAAAGTTATATATAGTATAGTATCGCTAGCATTACGCAAGATGTCCGACTGACGGCTAAAACCTCTTAAATGTTATTCAGGATCATGTCCTGGAGAGATCAAAATCATTGGAGGTACCTCTTATTTTAATTTTTACGTAAAAATGAATTTTTAGTGTAAAAATGAAAATAAGAAGAATAATCTTTAATGTCCTTGATCTTGTCAACAAATGTCCGAGACATGATTCTGAACAATATTAAGAGGTTTTAGCCGTCGGTTGGACACCTTGTGTAATGCTAATGCTGGCGGTACTATAACTTTCGAGCCTTATAATATATAATACTCGAAAAGTCAATGAAAAATAACTTTATTATGTTTTGAAAGCTCTCGACAATGTTCCATTAAAAAAAAAGTCGACGTGACCTTGATCTATCTTAGCGACGTCACTTAAAGTCAAATTGATAAAATTAGTAAATAGATCTTTCCAAACCCTACAAGTTTTGTCTAACCACCTTTATGATTGGACCTTATCCTGCGAAGATAAAAGGATGGTATGGGTCTACTGTATATGTACACACACACACACACACACACACACACACACACACACACAAAGTATCTACTATGTAGATGATATATTTGATTAAAAGCTAAATCTATATATAGATATGCGAGTTTATTTATAAAGTAAACTTTTGTAATAGATAATTTAATAATAACGCATACATGCGTGCGTGCTTCTGTACAGTGGATGATCAAATTAGAATCATAGTTATGGTTTTTTTTTTTAATTTATAGAAATACAATCAGAGAGAGAAAATCATATATACATAATAATTTTTAATAGACAGTTGACTAAAATACACTAAAAAGGTAAATTTATGTAATTATTAGTTTATGTAATTATGAATTATGGAGTATAAAAATGACAATAGGCTTAATATTTTATGTAGTAATATTTCCTTTTGTTATAATTAACACATTAATTCGTTTGGACATATTTTCCTTATATTTTAAGCAGTTTATTTTGATTGTTTCTATCTTATACCACACATTAATCAAATAATGTTTGTTTAATTAACGTTTGTTGATGATTCTTCAAAATTACAAAAGTAAGCAAATTCACTAGATGTTAACCAATAAAATTATAAATAAATATACAATAATAATCTGCTTATTGAAAATGCAATATAATATGTTGAGAAAACTGGCCAAAGACGAACAAATAAAATAGAATGTTATATAATATTAATTAAATTTAATGTTTAATGGACATTAAAAATGAGCAAAAATAATTTCAACTATATAGTTTTCATCAAAATGAAACGCATGAATTTTACAGTTTAAACAATAAAAGATCCAAAAAAGTAAAAATTCATGATATTTATAATTACAACATAGATCCTTAACGTCTCGCAACAATTAAACTTGATTGTTGATATCATCTGATTAATTAAATTTCCAGTCCTTAAATCATCAAGAAAATTGACAAGAAATAGGGCGTGTTACAAATTCCATTTTACAATTAGATTGTCAACAGTTCGTGAAATGAAGTGACAAGCAAATTGTGAGAATAGATTAAAGTAAGATACTGATAAGATTCTTCTGATTTTAACAACTATCAAGAACAAAATAAAAACAAATTATAAATTATAAATTATAATTAAAATAATTTTAGAATTTACTCATTTTTATAATTTTCACTTTATTTTAAAATACGCAATCTACTATCTGGAAGTATTCCTGTAAAATCGTTAATTTATGTGGTTCTATTATTTTTATCACCTACTGTATGTGTTACACACAAGCGCGCGCGCGCACATATAAACTAATGCATATACATGTATGTGCACATACATACAGATAAATAAGATTTATATTATATAAATCTTAAATGCAAAAAACGACGTAATTTAATATTAGATATAACTTATATTAGATATAAGTTATACAGGGCTTGTAATACCGATGATTATTGGTACATAGATATTTGAAGATTTTCTTCAAACAACTATATCTGCGACTGAAGACACAACTCAAGACACTTCTAATGAAAATCTATCAGATGACACATCTATGGATATTGACACGAAGAAAGATAAAGATATAGATCAAGATAAAGACCAACATTGGTTGTGTTTGTTAGTACGTTGCAATAGCAAGGATGAACTTATGCTTTTTGCAACCGGGAAAAATATTAGTCGTAGCACTATGGATCGTTTGAAACAGACATATGAGTCTGGTTCGGGAAGGAATTGTAATGTCAAATCTCTCTATTGTAAATCGATGAACAAGTAAGATTCCAACAAGATAAACTACGCTCCAAATAGCAGAAAATTGCATATATTATTGCATTCATTTCAGACGCGATGATAAAATTGTTACAACATTCTTAGTGGGAGCAGAAGCTCTAGATGAAATCGTGGGTAATTTGAAAGTGCAGCTTGCGCCAAAGACGAACTTTTGGTGTAATGCTGCTGGTGCATGGAATGTAGCTAAAACAGTTGCGGACATGCTTGAGCCCACAAAAAAAATTACAATACTTGAAATTGGTTGTGGAATAGGTGTAATTGGACTTACAATAGCATCTGTAAGTACTTGCGTAACTTACTACATAAGATATTTATGTAAGTAAACGCATTATTAAACAACCTAATAAATATTGATTTTTTAATATCATGCGTTATGTATGTGTACATAAACGCAGTGTTAAGCAAATTAATGAAAAGAGTAATGTAAAAAATAAACTATCATTGCATTATAACAGAAATGTCGAGAAGTGATAGGAGTTGATTCACCTTCGGAAATAGAAGAGGCTGAAATGACATGCGAATTGAACAATATATATAATGCATCGTTCATAATGGGATCTCCATCCGAAATTGTAACTAAACTAAATTCTGCGCGTGATTTACATAATAAAAATCGTGTGACTTATTGTATAGTCAATGCGGGCACCAATATGGGTAGAGGTACGCAAAATTGTTTTTTTTTAATCGTTAGTTTTTATTGGCGATTAATTAATAACATTTAACATTCCGATCACAACATATATCTTGTGATGATAAAACTCTAAAGTTATAATATCTTTTAGCTATCGAAGTAATGACATGCTTAAGGAAGATCAGTTCTCTTCGACGTATTGTAATGGTCACTACGTTGACAAAACAATCAGTTCGAGCAATATTAGAACTTGCACGGCCTATAGAAACTGGGCTCGGTCATCCATTCATGCCAATTCGAGCATGTGTCGTCGATACATTGCCTACGGGACCTCATTTTGAGGTAGTTATTCTAATGGAACGTAGACTCATGCATAGGCTTACGCAGCCATGGTTTATCAAAATGCTAGAGGAAGAAAGCAAAACGTTGGCTAATACTAAAGTTTTAGAGAAAATAATCAATAATGACAAATCTGAAAATGCTGATGCATGGGTAAGAAAGAATCCCTTAGCTAAACCTGAACTTGTGGAAAAATCTAAAGCGTTACACACGAAAAAAATAACCAAAGCAGTGAAAAGCAGTCCTTTACCAATAAAAGGTAAACTAAAATTGAAACGAGACCGTTCGCCCGATATAATAGAAATTAATAAAATACCTAAAAAAATTGAAAAGATTGGATCTAAATCTAAAGTGGGACAACAGGGTAAGTTTGGTGATACACAACTAATAGACATTACATGATATTACATATATACACATACACACATCTAATCAATTTTTTATTAATCAGATGTTACAGCTAAGAAAAAGACCTGGTTTCATGAAAACTCAAACCTTCGCATCAATCCATTATTTGAAAAAAAAACAAGGGAAATCAAAGAACAAGTTGATTTAAGAGAAAAATTATTGAGTAACCGAATTGACACAGATCTAATACAGAAAGTAAATGAAAGTCGAGAAATACTTGAAGCAGCCAAAGAAAAGTTAAGCGGTCCATCTCCTACGGTTGATGCAACGACCGCTAAAGAATTAAAAAATGTATTAAGTTTGGTCCTCGATCAAACTAATAAGATTCAGGCTCATTTGCCACGTTCAGTGTGGGATCGCATTGCGCCACCTGAGCCTGAGTCAAAGACGCTTGATGATGATCCTCTTTTGAAAGGTCGATTTGTACAAGAAACTCGTGCACAGGATATCGTTATTACGACAGCGAACAAAGAATACTTGGAAACAGAGGACAATAAACCAAAATTCAAAAAATATCATAACCTTGCACCATTAGAGCCAAATATGATAATGCCAGTATCAAAAAAATTTAAATCCGACAGACCGGAATTTCCTCAAAAATCATTTGACAACAGAAATAGACAACAAAACCAAGATAATTTCTGGAATAAGAATAAAAATTTTGATAGAAATCGTTGGAGCGATACGGGATCTATAAAAAGACCTATTTCTCCAATGAAAAGACAAAATTTATCATTTACACAACGAGCATCTCCATCAGATGGATTTTCATCAAAACGTCCGTTATTGTCACCACCGAGACGCTTATCGCCGTCTAGAAGACATCTTTCTCCAGATAGATCGTATCAAGTACGTAATTCTCCATCACATCGAGAATATTCTCAGAGACGACCAGTATCGCCAATAAGAGTAATGGTATCTGATAGAGAAAGACGTGAAATGTCGCCGCTTAGACGTCCGTTTTCACCGATTAATCGAATGTCTTCGCCAAGACGACCGATGCAAGTTTCAGGTCGACCAATTTCACCTATGAGACGGCACATATCGCCGCCAAGACCACAGTTATCTCCACCTAGACGACAAATATCTCCGATGGAATATGACTTATCTGCGAGACAATTGTCTCCGGAAAGAAGACCTATGTCGCCTATTGTCAGAATGATGTCTCCATCAAGACCAAGAGACTTGATTCCACCGCGGCATCAGTCTTCTCCCAGACACTTTTCGCCACATCAAGCACCACATATACGTAATGCTTCGCCTCCAAGGCGACAGCAATCTCCTCCGAGGCGACAGCAATCTCCTCCGAGGCGACAGCAATCTCCTCCGAGGCGACAGTTATCTCCTCCAAGGCGCCAGAGCTCGCCACCAAATAGATTTGCGGATGAATGGGACATACCAAGTCGGGGTGCTATTGAACAAAGCAGCACTTGGCAACGGTCCGTTAATGAAAGACCGGAAAACATTTGGCGTAATGAGAGACAATCGACAACAAGCGGAAATTGGCAGACTTTGTCTGATAATGACAAATATCGCAAACCAACTAATCAAGATAAACCCTGGGATGGCAGAGAATCTTCATCTCATGGAAATTCATGGAATGCAAAACAATCAAAACAACTTGGAAATATAAAAGAACCTTGGCAGACTTCAGACAATAGATGGTCCGGTCCATCCAGATCGGGAAATGGCGAAAATTGGAATCGGGATAGTTTGGGACGCAACAAAGAACCTTGGATGAATACAAACAAGCCACGATGGGAACAGTCGCAATCTAATGATTGGAATCACGGAGACAAAGACGATTGGAATGACCTTCCGGAAGACGCAAGGGACCCTTGGGGGGATGACGGCAATCTTGGATTGAACAGGACCATCGATAATCAGGCTACTTCGTCGACCAATTGGTCTAGAGAAATTGACAAGGATCCTTGGGGAAAATCCAAAGATAATTGGCAAAACAAGTCGCAGACATTTCCAGCGAAATCGTTATGCCAAAACAGTAATAATCCGAGTATAAACGACTCACGCTGGTTGCCTTTAAACGATATGAATAAGAAGGTATCATCATCATCTACTAACTGGCAAGGAGGCACTAACGTTGGATCCAACATTGGGACTAACGTTGGATGGCAATCAAATTATGGTTTTCAGACACCGCAGCGATCCTTTGTGCCCAATTTGTTTAAGGATCGACGTTAGTTATAAGATGTTAGACAAGATATTTTAATGTTACAAAATAATAATAGTTTAGCATCACTTTTGAACATTTCGGTTTATAAAGCAAAAGCACAGATTAATTGAATTGAATGGGTATTAAAAACACAATGTAAAACAAATATGCGATATCAAATAAAGTTACGACTGCAGTATGTGTTAAAATATCTGTCTCTATTATGTGATTTATATTGTGATTTTTGTGCAAACAATAGTGTTTAAAAGTATTTCCATTCTTTCAAATGATTCATAATGAAACAATTTATTAATATGTATTTCAATAAGACAAAATAGATGATACTTATTTTTTTTTAATGTTTAAATGTTTATTAATTACCTTAGTGTGCAATGAGAGAAATAAAAATAGTCTATATATTTACTGAGGAGCATTGTACATACATAGTTTTGCACGAATTGCAAATGATATATATGTAGTATATATATGTAGTATGTATAATATGAATTGCAGTTGATATATGTATGTAATAATAGCTAATTGTATCTCTCATTGAAATGTTTTCTAAAATACATCACAAGTTGACATCTCATATTTCATATCTAAAAATCTGCAAGTTATGAGTTTCTTATTATTATAGAGTTTCTTATTATCGAACCGAAACTGAAAACGAATCAGTTTCAACTGAAATCATATAGTTCTTCTTCATAAATATTAAATTTAATATGTGTAATTATTGTTTCAATAATTATAACGTTTATGAAGAAAAAGCTTATATTCTTTAGCCAAATTGGCACATAACCAAAATTTTGGTTCAATTTCGGCTGAAATTTAATTACTGTTTCAATAAATTATGATATTTATGAAAAAAAAAACATGATTATATGGGTATATTTATACTTATATATGGCCTTTATAGGATTCTTATTTTTAATTTTTGGTTTCGGTTGAAATTGATACCGAGTGTTTCGGTTCAGTTTTAATAAATGTTTCGGTTTATTAGACTTATTATATTATATTTAAAAATTATATGAATCACGATGTATATTCTTTTAAATTAAAATTGTAACAATTTAACAAATTAAATAAAATTCTATAACAGATGTTGTTTATTACAAACTGAACATAAGATAAAAATATACAAAATTGCGCTTTATATTAAATATTTTACACAATTTTCGAAAACAAGAAATTTATATTGCATCAGATAGTTTCTGTGGATCTAAATGTGTATATAATATATGCATATTTAGATGTTTAGAAAATTACTTAATATATTATGTTAATAAATTTTTAATATATTAAGTAATTTTCTCTTTCTAATTTATATATCTAAATTTTACGCACATATACATCTATAACTTCAGACATAATTAATCGTGCTATTCTGTTTCTATAAAAAAACAGATATCAATGTTTAATTATTGAAACTATTAAAACTCTTCTTGTAACTTTAAACATTAGTCTGGGTTTAACAAATATCTACAACATTGCAATAATAAGTATTAAATTTAGTCATTTTAGTTTAATGCTGCAAATATAAATTTTGCAGCATATTTCATTATAATCGTAATATTTTTGTTCTACTAAGAGAATTTTAGATTATTGCTACTAACATAAATTGCACCTACATGGTAACGTCACAATCAACTACACAACTATTGTACGATTGTATTCAGTGTACGTTGTATGTACAATCTATGTTTAATAGAAACAACAGTTGTGCATGCTGAGCAGTAAACGAACATGATTGGATTGGTTTATTGGTTATGATCGCTGGATCCAGTAAATTAGCCTCGGTTACAGTTACCGTGTTCAAACGTATATATGAATGAATATGTTTACATAACACGGAAATAATAAATTCATAAAATTTCTGGAGATTATCTCGCAGTTTGGAATTCCGTTCATCAATATAAAACGACAAGAGATGCTTCTATCAAAGGTATTTCGATATAAATATAAAACCAATGCAAATTGCGATTGAGGTTAACCGTGTGTTATATTCTGTTAGCTATCACTTCTTCTCAGAAATACTACTTTTGCTGCCATACAACATGAATCAGGATATCCTGGTGTTCTCATGCATAAATATCTACGAAATGATATATCCTCCATGAAACTTTTCATGTCAACACAACAACAGGATTCAATGAATGAACAGATCTCTCTTTCGATAAACACAGTAAATTTTGTTATTGCTGTATTTCCATTAATTTATTCAAATACAGTGTGTAAATAGAATATTTATTTCTTAGGGTACACCAGATAAGTTGTATAAAAAAATTGAAGTTGAAGTCAGGGGAAATGATCCAGCGGTATTAAAGAGTTATGGAAAATTTGCAACGATGGCTGCAGAACATTTGAAGATCAACATAGGTAGAAAGTGAGTTCTTATTTGTTTATTAATGTTCTAGTTAGATCCGATTGTATCAATGTTACTTTGACTTTAAGTAAAGCTTAAAACTTTCCATATCTCTCTCTCTCTCTCTCTCTCTCTCTCTCTCTCTTTCTCGGCTTTAAAAAAAGAAAGTGAGAATTTTAAATCTTGCTTAAAATCAAAAGGCTTATTTTTTTTAGCTAAACTTTTGCCAGTTCATCTTTCTTTCTTTTCAGAAGAAAAGAAGAAGAAAGATGAACTGGTGCAAAAGTTCAACCAAAAAGAATAGGCCTAAAGTAACATTGATGCAATCAGATCTTATTCGATTATTTAACTTTAACATTTAGCAACGATTGGATCATATTGAGATTCTGTATTGAATATCGTATAGAGTGATAAAAGCACTTACATAAGTCTTCCACCCACAGAAAACATCACAAAAAATAGCTGATTGGATAATATATTAAAATTTTTTTTGTTTATAGTACAGCACCATATAAAGCTATCCACGAACGCTGGACAGTACTAAAATCTGCTCATGTTCATAAGAAGCACCGGGTTCAGTATGAAATTAGGACTTACTATCGCTATATAGACTTTTTAAAATTGACTGGATCGACAGCAGATACTTTTCTAGAATATCTTCAAAGAAATTTGCCAGAAGGAGTGGCAATGAAAGTGACCAAGGTCAGAGTTTTATATGTATTTATATAATTCAACTATACTTCTATGTACTTTGTACTGTTCATCTTTCCTCGTTTTTTTTCTCTACATAGAAACGAGAAAATGAAGAAATAATGCAAGAAGTTTAGCTGAAAAGGACGGACCTATAATATAAAATAGATTCAAATTCATTTGCATCTGACTTATCTAAGAACTTTTACTTGCAGGTTGAGATGGAGAAATTGTCTGAGAGTATAGCTGCAATAAGTAATACATAACTATATAATATATAATTATGAATATGTTTATATGATCCAGGATGTAGATAATTTATCAATATAAACTACAAAAAAATACATTTCAAGTTTATTTATTTAACTTTATACTTATTTTAATTGAAAATTTAATTATACGATAAAAATAATCTTATTTTAAAAGGCCGCAGTTATAAACAATAATATTTATTAATATTAATATTTGTAGAAAGATAAGATTGGTAAATTGTTCCAAAAAAATGATATGCTTTTCTTTAGTATTATTACAAATATTATGTATTACGCAGTTATACACTAATTGCAATAAAATTAAAATCTGCGGCAGTATAAATTGAAAATTTATTAAAATTGAAATTGTCATTGGAAAAATATTAAGTGAGAGATTTGATAATTATTACATGTGGCGACGAATCGATGTTTCTGCTCGATATATTGCGCGAGAGTTCCGGTAATGGATTCTTCTTCTTAAAGGCTGATGGTCTGTCTTGTGGTACATTGATGTTTACGGTTTTAAGAGGTGTATCTGCTAAATGTTTGCCTGCGATTCGACGTGCGTGCCCACTACCGCGTCTTCTCATATGAGTCATACGTCGAAAAACACCGTTCGAAATTTGCTTGGAAGTTTCGGATTGAATAGCGTCAATCAGAGAACCTTTTTGTTGCATTTGCGATTGTGCCAAGTTTCCTTCAGCTCTGCGTAAACTGGCTCCAACATCCTCATTCCTATGCTTTCTAATTAATTCCGCAGTAGCTGTACATCTGTGCAATATATATTCATTACCTGAAATAAAATTTTCATAATGTATACAATACTTACTTATCTAATTCTTGTATAATTTTATATAAAGCTGGTTGCACCAACGGCGGCATATACGAGTCGACAATACGCATTCTTAATCAAGTGTTTCAATTATTCAACTGCATGCATTGTGAGATGGAAAAATTATGCTGTGGATAGTGACAACTGTTTTTATTTAAAACATTTAAACATGCATTAATTGAATGACATCTTTGCTAAATATATACACATATATGTAAATATATACACATATATGTAAATATATACACATGTATTCTTGTTGAAATTTACGTTCAGGTAATAAATCGATGTTACATTGCATACTGATTAAGAAATATATTTGAAAAGTGTTTAAAGAGAATTTAAAATATTTTGATCACTCTTTTATGAAATCCTTTAGATATTTTTTTTAATTTTTGCGTTTTGAATATAAATAATTCTGACTCTATAATAAAAGATAAATATCTATTAATTTAGAATATATTTAAACTTTATATAGCTCAAAACAATTGATATCGTTCTTACCAGAAATTACTCTAATTAATTCTTTACCGTAGATGAATTTTCACTCATGTACTTTTTTGAGTTTTATATTAAAAATAACATTTAATAAGATTGTTTAAATTAAAGTTCATCTGTTAAAATAATATTAATTTAGTTATTCCAATATTTTGCAACTTATAAAGGAGATATAAAAAAATAAAAAATTCTGAATTATTCTTAATTAGATCAATTTTCACCCAAAATTGTGTTAATATTGGAAAAATATGAATAGATTCCAGAGTTTTAGATTACATAACATATAATCTGTAATGATAAAAATTATATTAAAATCACTTACTTGATCGTTTTGAACGAGGATAATAAATCGCCAGAGAATCAGTGGCCCAAACGAAGATGATTAAAATAACAGTCACTTTTTTTAAAGTCATTATCTGTCACGAGATCTTTGCAAGTGACTGCTGACTTACTGACTTAAGTTAAAATAAGGTACTAAGTTTACACACATTTAACAAAATTTATTGCAAGTTAGAACAGAATTTGAATTGTCTGCCAACTGTGGGAGAGGAAATCGTGGTAGCTACCGCGGGAGCTATCGATCGACTGTTCACGAGGAAAAAGCCACGTAGAAGAGGCCGCAAAAACAAAACCAGACAAGACGTCAAAGCCGAACTGAGGTCGTTCGACTTTGTCGAGATTTTATGCCATAGTAAGGTAGCACACGTGCGTACCACAGAACGTTAAAATTAATCGGATCCTGCCGGAGCATCAGTCGTGATACCACGAAGCAGACGGAAGAAACTGCATGATGATCCTTTTTTCTTGTTTCCAACATTAACCGAGGTAAACCGGTTTGAATGTTGGGCCAGATCGAAAGCCGACATTGTGCTTTAATTATGTTCTTTTTTTTCATCTAATTTCTTTCTACATTGTTTAAAAAGGTAGTCAATTTCAGATAGATGCTTTGCTATAATCTTGGAAACAAATTTTTTTTCGAATTTTCAAAAACTTCGTGACGTAAAAAAAGAAATTAACGAATGAAATCGAATCTACCACAGGGATGACCTTGACAATCACTTGCCATAATATATATCATCTGCTACCATATTTTTAGCTGTGAGCTATGCACGTTGCCGCTTTTCATATAATGATGTAATATTTCTTTGGAATATAAATAAGTACCTGATTATTCTTTGATTATATAATTTTGTATCTATTTGATTACAATAGAAAACATAGAATAAAAAAATAGCTATTATTAGAAAAAAAAGAAAAGCGATATAATACATAGAGCAAAATTTAATTGAAGCGAATACAATGATACCATCTATTCTATAGAAAATGTTATGCCCTTGATAAATTTCGCATTGATTTAAGACATTTTCATGTTCATGTCGTGATCGGCAGGAATATTATCAGAGGATAATCGTCCGAGCGACTAATGGAGGCATCATTAAAGGTAAAAACCAGCTCTGGGCGACCTTGAATTTCTTTCCAATTTTACGGGAGTATCGTTCACCCTTTTATAGAAACAGAAGTGGTCCAATTACAGGACTCTAATTACGCAGGTAAAAAGGCCTTTATAATCTTGGTGGAGATTCCACCAAGTGCAATAACATTGCAGGCAACGTTATAATCTTCTGCTATTATTGAATCAGAAGGTAACCGATTTGCCTATTTTTGCTGATAGCTTGTTTCTTCATGTTCGCAATACTGAATGCCTACGTAGGATATAATTGCCGCGCGATAAAAAAGATCCGGTCTACTAAATATAATATAACTAACAAACATAAATGACAAAAAAAAAATTGTGAATATGATAAAAAAATGAAGAATTATGCAACGTTCAAAAAGTCCACACTTTGACGTAATCTATTACAAAAGCAGTTTTATTGCCACTGTCTCGTCTCCAGCTTGGTAGCCATTGATTCCGAGAGTTCCAGAAATTCAACATTGCCTAGAATCAAGATGATATTTCATGTAATTATTTAAAAAACGGATGCTTATTTAAAAAAAAAAACTTTAAGAATGAAAATTAAAGCATCAACATATTAAATTAACCATAAATTGATTAATTAAATAATATTAAATGATTAAATTAAATTAAATAATATAAAAAAATATTAAAGTGTACCTTAGCGTCTATATTTCTCCACGGTTTTCGCATTCCGGAACTGTGTGTACCATCCGGAAACACACGTACTCCACCCACACCGACACCAAGAGTGATAAAGAACTATTATAAAAAACATAAATATTTAATTTTAAGAAATTTGTGTGTGTGTGTGTGTGTGTGTGTGTGTGTACAATTATTTAATTAATTTGTACTATACAGGATGGCCCGAATTTATATGTCTAAACTTCGGGAGCGTGTAGAGAATCGATAAACTAAGAATAAAAGTTCAGTAAAGATATTCTCGTTTTTGCTTCGTTTTGGAGAAAATTGTAAACGAAACAAAAAAAGACGTAGTCTTCATTTGTGTATTTTCTCCTTATTTACATTTGTTTACATTGTATTTATTCACTTGCTTAATGTATATATTGTTCAAAATGTTAGCCTCTTGCAATGCAAACATTGTATCTAGTACAGCTCATGTTGCAACCAAACACTGATCTGACTGATCTGATGATACTACTCCTTCACGTCCTATCCGTCATAGTGGATAATGTCTATCTAGCCAAGCTCGAATAGTTCGCCATAATGAGTTGGACATCCATCAAATTGAAACCACATTTCAATCCGTGCTGCAGATGGATGTCTTCTAAATAATCAAAGAAATCACGTAGAAGAATAGTACCTTGATCACCCCGATTTGATTTTGACACCACTAAACTTCTTTGTGTAGGAGGTGTTCTGAAGCAGGAAGTTTATTCGTCGCCAGTCAACTCAAGAGAACAATTAAGAAATCGAATAGAGGCTGCAGTGTACCAAATATCGCCAAATCAGTGTTTGGCTGCAACACGAACGGTCCGTACTAGATACAATGCTTGCATTGCTGCAAGAGGTCAACATTTTAAACAATATCTACATTAAGCAAGTGAATAAATATAACGTGAATAAGTAATGAGAAAAAAAAATACAAAAATGAAAACTATATTTTGTCTTTTTTGCGATTTTCTTCTAAACCGAACATATCTTTATAGGACTTTTTTTTTAGTTTATCGATTCTCTATACGTTTCTAAAGTTTAAATATTTAAATTCGAGACATATATGTAAAAGGTAAACAGATGTGATACAAATAAAATGTCCTCATAAATTCATAATGTTTGCTTAAACTACAAAGAATATAAAAACCGTTTTAAAGCAACAGAACTATAGAATAATGCAATAGAATAATAGAACTAAATGGTACCTCTTGATCGAACGGGGCAGCTTTTCTGTCTGCGTGAGGATTACTCGTCCATCTCTCTTCATTTGGGCTTATTCGGCCAACTTCTTCGCCGTCGACCAAAAATGTGAAACCATTACTGGTCCAGATCGTCGTGTACACATGGAAATCCTTCGTCCATCGTGGTCCGAATTCGTTTACTTTTGTGACGAGTATCTCTTGGATTTCATTAAGAGATGGACTTACTCTCACGCCAAAATCCAATCGTCTAGTATCATAGATCTTCGAAACGTCCGTGGCATTCACCAAATTCTCATTGCCGCGTGTTAAACCCAAAAGAACACGGCCACTCGCGTAGTTCATACCGTAAGTAGAATAACGTGGCTCAAGCCACATTTCTGATAAAATTATTAGGACATATATTTTATATATTTTAAATTTTTGTTTTATGTAATTAATTTCCACTTAAATATTTCAATAAAAAAATATATATATGTAATTCATATATATATATATATATATATATCCACTAATTATATGCAGAATTTACAGTTAATATCGGATCTAAACGGTACTAATGATTAAAGATCTCTTAATCATCAGCTGGAGCCATTTTCGATTTCTTTCCTTAAGAAAAGTGTTTCGATATACTGATTAATTATTATATTAAAACATTTTTTCCTAAGAGAGTTAAACGCGAAAAATCGCATATATGAGCACAGGTGGGATTGAAT